GTGTGTCATATTCCCCCACTAAGTGGAGAGTTTCCAGGAGCCAAGTATCGAGCCTCTTACACCTTCCAGAACCTACCAGATTAATCAATGTCCTCTCTCTGTCAAATAATCTGAGTTCAGTGACCCTCATGATGATGGAGGTCTAACCAGGAAGTTCCCACCACACTACAAGGAGGCCTGGTTTCCCCCAGGAGCCCCATGCTGAATTTTTGCCTTCTCTGACATTGAAGGCCAGGATGGGGACACCAAGGCCCAGGGTCTGCGGGCTCTGACTAGCCTTGCTCTTGGTCACGGGGAGACAGATCTGGGATGAAAACCCAGGTCTCCAGACTCAAAGCCTTCATGTCCTGATCTGCACTGACCACTGGGTGGCCTTGGGCAAGTCTACTCCCATCTCTGGGCCCCAGTTTCCCCTTCTGTCTAACAAGGGGGTCCAACAGGCTCCGACAGTCTACAGCCTGGGACTTGGCCTTAACTTTGGTGTGCTGAGGGTGACGGCTTATACTGCCTGAAAGGGTTCAACTCCAGCCCCTCCAGTAATTACAATAAATGGCACTAAATTTATTGTGTGGAGGATCCTTGAAGGACTCTTGATACATTCTGAGGTCCCTGTCTGATTGTACCTGGAGGCCATGCCACATCTGAGCCATTCTCAGGCAGGGCTGTTTGTGAGACCATCGCATCCCTGGGATGTCCCCAAGGCATTAGTGGGTGAGCCGCAGAAGCCGCTGGCAGGTGCAAGCACTGGCAGTCAGCCCATACCTGGAGTGTATCCTGGCTGGGGACCCTTGGAGACCACTGAGTCCAGCCTAAAAGGGGCAGAGAATAGGCACATCAGAGGGGGCTGGATGAGACAAGGACGGCCTCCTATTATAGAAGGACACTAGCCAAAGCTAGGGCCAGCTCTACTGACCCAAGCAGAGGCAGAGCTGGGTCAACAGGGCTCGGAAGGGCAGGTCCTAGCTTAGGTTGCACTTGGCCCCAGAGAGTCTCCCTTCCTTCCCTCCCTAATATGCCTACTCCATCCTGTTCATTTTGCAAGGTCAAGCTGGAATCCTTCCTCCTTTTCCAGGAAGCCTTCCCTGCCTGCCAGCGTGTAAGACCTGCCCTTCTTGGAGACACCTGAATCTCTCTGTGGTTTCCCTCCATTAAGTCCTGAGTACCAAGTCCTGCCCTCAGGGTGTTACATGCTTTGGATCTTCAGACCACCCCTGCCAGGTGGGTACCGTGTCTCCCATTATATGGATGAAGAAACAGAGGCTCAGAGAGGCAAAATGACTTGGCTATACAACCTGTGATATCTGATGCCAAAGCCCAACATTCCTCATGCCCAGGCCACCCCATTCTTCCTGGGCATTCCCCCAGGCTCCTGGAGATGCCACTCAAAAGTCCTTATGTTGATACTTCCTGTGCCCTCCTAATGGCCAGGCTCTGTGTGGGGCCCTGAGGGGGTGACAGGGACAAGAAAGACTTGGGTCCCAGCTTGACAAGAGTCCAGGGTGCAGGCGTTTTCCATCAGTCCTTGTGTGTATGGCAGGGGGGAGGGGGCAGGAGAGTGGGGACTGGGATGAGGACCTGAATAGTTGAGGGGGGATCCAGGAAGGCTTCCTGGCAGAAGTGGTATTTATGGATCCATAAATATCCTGAGTTCAAGTGGTTGAGATGAGGGAGGGTGTTCCAAGTGGAAGGAACTGCATGGGTAAAGCCCTAAGAAAACAGGAAGTTGTCCAGGCCCCTGGCCTGTGGAGCAGCAAAGGGTGATGCAAGGGAGGCTGGAGGTGGGCAGGCTGGAGTGGGGATCTTGCTGCTCCAGGTGTCCCAGATGTTCCTGATGGGCTTCCTCCTCTCTCATGTGGCAGAACTGAGCCCAGGACTTGCTTGGCACATAGTAGGTTTTCCATAAAAACCTCCCAGTCTTGTTTGGTCTGCTCAGCTGACCTCCCCTTAGGTGGCATGCAGAACTGGCACCTGCCAGGCCCCCTGCCATGGATGGACCCCTCTCTGCTGGCTGCAGCTTGACCAGCCCCTGCCCATCCCACACGACTTCCAGCACATGCACCTCTGGCCAGGTGGGTAGCCAGAGGCCTTTGCTGCTGAACCTGTCAATGTGCCCACCATGGAAGTGCCTCTGCTCCCTGGGAAGGCTTGATTTCTCCTCCCATGATCTTAACTTGTGGCTGGAGTCAGCCATCAGAGACCGAGGATGTTGTGAGCCTCAGAAGTTGGAAGGTGTAAACTCTTACTACCCGTTTACTCTTTTTTTTTTTTAATTTTATTTATTTATTTATTTTTCCCCCCAAAGCCCCAGTAGATAGTTGTATCATAGCTGCACATCCTTCTAGTTGCTGTATGTGGGACGTGGCCTCAGTGTGGCCAGAGAAACGGTGCGTTGGTGTGCACCCGGGATCCGAACCCGGGCCGCCAGCAGCGTAGCGCGTGCACCTAACCACTAAGCTACGGGGCCAGCCCAAACCGTTTACTCTCACTTACCTCCCCTCCTTATTTGTCTTTCTTTAATGGGCTGTCAACCAAAATCTCCCACCTTTCCCTTGGTGCCAGCGGCCTCAATGAGGTGTATATCTGTGGAGGGAGGCTGGGACTGAAATGCCCAACTCCCAATGCCCAGTCGCCATAACAGCCTGCATACAGGTGCCTGATGGTCTGGTCACTTTTTGGGGACAGTACTGCCATCCTGGCTTCAGAGGGCAGGGAGGATGCTCCTGATATTTTGCACCCTGCCACTGTAGAGTCTGCCTCAGGAAGGTGCCCACCTAACCCCCGAGGGCACCCGGGACGGATGATACCCTCTATGCTGGTTCCCTGGGGCCATGAGCACAGGCATTTGTTCAGCAAACAAATGGGGGAGGATACCGTGGGCCAGTGGTGCCCTGGGCATACGGGAGACAGAGATGCTAGAGACAGGTATCAGCAGGAGGGGCTGGGAAGGGACTGGTTAGCTCAGGCTTGTTGACTCTTCTATGTAGCAGCTCCCCCGCCCCCCATTCTGTCCAGCCTGGAGGGACTGCCCTGCTCAGAGTTGGGGGTGGGGACATCTGGCACAGTCAGGCATCTGGCTCAGTGAGGACCCTGCTTGTCCTCCATAGAACTGGCCTTGCTTGGCCTCCCAGAGTCCACCAGGCTTCTTCTGTTCACGAGGCCCCAGGCCTATCAGGGATTTGGGGCCCAGGGCACTGCTTTCCTCTGATAATGTATTTGGGTTCTTATAGTTTTGGGCCTATTGGCAAACCTCAGTCTGGCCCCTGAAGACTCACTCAGGTCAGGAGAAGAGGAAGCTCCAAAGCTGTCCTCTTGTCAAGCCCTGGTTTGTAAGGGTGGGGCAGGGGTGGGGACAGCCGGGCAGGACTGAGGAGCAGGTGAAGGTTGTCCTGAGCCCTACTTCCAGCCTCTGACCTCTGCCCTCCTCAGTCCAGGGGCCATCACTCTTCCCTCCTCAACTGCAAAATCCTCTTCAGGCTGACTTGTGAGTAGGTGATGGAAGACTCACCCAGATGTCATAAGGCGGGGGCCCTTGCACGAGTGGTTACTGTCTCTCACTCCTCATGTTGAGCACAGAGTCTGACGGCAGTTACTGCTAAGGGGGCCCTGCATTCTCCCATCCTATCTGTACTGGGGGCAGAGCAGGGTCTCAGGGCAACTTCAGGAGAATCGCAGGGATGTTCTCTCCCCACCATAAGTGCTTTGGTTTACCAAGCAATTCACTCCCATTCTCACTTCAACCTGGAAATGGGAGTGGGCACCCATACAAGTATCCACAAGGGTGGAAACTGAGGCTCTGAGAGGCCCACAAGTTCCAGGGTCAGAATTGACACCAGCTCAGCTTTCTCCCAGCTCTCTCCCAGCAGGAAAGAGCCAGGGGCCTCTAGGACAGAAATGATTGGATTGTGCAGGGCTGAGTTTCCTGGCACTGGAGGAGTCTAAATAGAGGCTGTGCAAGCCTTGGGAGCTGGGGCTTGGGGCTGCTCTGCACACAGTGCCTGCTTAGCCCAGGGAAGTGAAATGAGTGGTTAGCTGGGGCTTGGGGCTGCTCTGCACACAGTGCCTGCTTAGCCCAGGGAAGTGAAATGAGTGGTTGCAGAGGGCTGCATCCTGCCATTCTCAGCCCCTCACAACTCTGCAACTGGATCCAGGTTCCCTCTCAGGGAGCTAGGAGACCCAGGTCCTTTCTTTCTTTCAGGGGCTGGGGATCCAAGTCCCCCCAGAGACGACTCTTGAAGGTAGCTGAAGCCACTGGAGGTGTGAGTTCAGCACTGCTGCCCTCTACTCAGGTCTTGGCTGAAGCCTGCCATTCCACCATTAAACCTGTGACTCCAGGCCTTAAGCCTGTTGAAGGTCGAGCCCCTAGAAGGGTCATATATGCGCCTGCCCTGGGCCTCGGGGCGGGGGCTCTTCCTGCGGGTGCTGCAGAGAAGAGCATCGGGGTCTGAGGCGTGGGGGCAGCGGTGCACATTGGAAGCTCGGACCGCGGCTAGGGCGCAGGACGCGCGCGCCGGGGCAGGCTCGGGGCTGCGCGGGGACCAGGGGCGCGCAGGCACGGGCGCGCGCATGGCCGTGGCGGGGGCGCGCGGGGGCGGGCCAGCCAGGGAGAGAGGGAGGGAGGAGGGCGGCGCCGCCAGGTTAGCGGCGGCGGCCGCTATTTGAGCGCCGGTCCCGCGCCAGGCGCTCAGAGCGCTTCGAGCCAGCGCCCTGGAGAGATCGTAACACGCAGCCTGCAGAGGCGCTACGGCCCGTGCAGCCCCGGAGGCCCCGCGCGAAGAAGGCGGCGGCAGGGGAGAG